AAAAATAAAAAATCCTAATGCCAACATAAAAAAAAAAAATAAAAAAAAAATAAAAAATAAAAACATAAAAATGGGATAAAAAGGTGCTTTCAGTACAATTCCCCAAAAATCTAGAACAGGAACAGAGTCCAAAATACCACCAAATGTCTAAAACGACATCCAAAACCAAAAACACCAAAGTCTTTTCCTTTTTTTGATAGAAAGAGACACAACAATATTACTTCAAACTTAAGACCTGGGGTAACAGACCCCTACAAGAGCAGCAGTACACAAAAGGTCCACCTCCGGTGGACATTCAGACAAAATATTCAAACCATGGGAAGTAAGGACCCCTTTTTTGGAAAGAGCATCAGCAGCAGTATTGGCTTTCCCCAACACATTGTTCTAAAGTAGTCAATATCGTACTAGCATATGTACCGATTTTACTACTGGAATGGTACGTACCGAATAATAAAATTTTTTGTGTACCGTTTCGGATTTACCGTTATAAAAAATTGTTGTGAAGAAATTCAAAAAACATAACAAGAAAAGGACTCAATCAAAAAAATTAAAAAATTAAGGATAAAATCTACCAAGATAAATCCACAAATCCACCATAATATTGAGCCCACAAACAATTTATTTCAAGTCACAACCCAATTTCAAAGCCCAGCCCATTCAAACCCAAATTTAACAATAAAAGAAACCCTAGTTCTTTCTTTTAAAGGAGGAAAGAGACGACAAGCATAACAAAAAAAATAAAAAAGGAAAACAGAAAGCCTCTCAATTTTTCTCCCTTCTACAGATCTGCGACAGCCACCATCACCCCGTTCCTTCACCTCCGACCTTCACCTCCGACCTTCACCATCCTCTTGCTAGCCAATCGTCACTCTCATGAGTCTCATCTCACCAATCACCAAGAAGACGATGCAGATCTAGCCGCAAGCCCCTTCACCTCCGACCTTCACCATCCTCTTGCTAGCCAATCGTCACTCTCATGAGTCTCATCTCACCAATCACCAAGAAGACGATGCAAATCTAGCCGCAAGCCCCCTTGGGGACTCCGACCTTGATATCTTCTTGCGTCTCATCATCATCACTGCCTCCACCTTCATCACCGGTAAGTAGAGGGGTTTGGCAGCCACCAGAAAGGGAGGATCTTTCTTCTCCAAAAAAATATCAAGTTGTTGTCAACACGGCCGGTACGCCAGAATATCGACCGAAATACCGAAATTTGACCGAAATGAAATTAAGCTTTATATCGTTTCGGTGCAATGAAAAATCCGGTACATACCGGTTATACCGGCCGGTACGAAATGGAATTAACAACATTGCATTGTTCACTTAGACTTGAGACATCATGCGCAAAAGGTCCCTGCAAGTCATAAAAAGAGTGCTATAAGGGTGGGAGATGTTAGGTGCACCAGACAAAAGCAAATATGCAACCTGACAATCAGTTTCCACAATAACGTTATGAAAGTGGTGGTTCACAGCATTATTAGGACCATCTCTAATAGCATACAATTCTGCACCAAAGTCATTTATTTTTGAAAAATGTCAACTGTCATGGGTAAGAAAATGACAATCAAACCAAACATTTAATGATTGCACTATTCATGATTCAATCAACAATTTTTTAGCAAAAAAATCATACCAAATTGTTGAAACCAAACCAAAAAAACAGTCCAAATCAAACAATATTCCCTGACGAGGAAACACTGCAAGGTTAATTGCTTCCTAAAAGGCCAATAAACGGTTGAGAAAACAAATTTAAAACTGGAAAAATTTAACTGCAAACAGGAATAAGAAGAGAAAATGAAAGCTTCCTTCCTTAAAAGCCTCCTTTGATGATAATGATGGAATGTCTCGAGTCAAACTCCAAATAAACCAGGAAATCTACAAACCAAATTCTTTGCTCAAAAGCCAACTCTGCAACTCCTGCTGTTCAGCCAGATAGAAGGGGCCAGATAGAAAGGCCATTTTCTTGTAGCTGTTTGGTATCAATGATGTTGTATTGTTGTATGTCTCCTGCATATAATAATCCATACTGTGATCATTAATAATTAATTTCCATATATGATGTAAACTAATAGAAACATAAACCCATGGGAAACAAATGTGAACTTTAAAAGTAACATGCCATTTACATATAATTCAGAAATAGATACAAGTAACTTGCAAGTTTTACTCCATGCATTCCTAGATGTTAACATCAAAATC